ACCATCTTCGTGTTGGAAAGGGATTTCATTATTTTTAGGCGTCCTGATCATGAATCTAAAAGCTAAAATTAGGGGAAGCCAATAGCTAATAATAATTAATTAGTAGCGATGCCCTCTTTTAGACGGGTTTTTGCACATGGTTTTATGCGGAGAATTTCATTCAGTTGTCTAAATAAGTTAAGATTTTTGTGGAGCTAAACTAGTTATTTACCCAAACAATTATTTCGTCTGAAATTTCAAGTCGATGGTATTTCACTTTTTACGATCGCTCGACATCATGGAAGCATTTTTGATTGATCCATAAAATAGGATTAATAGGAGAATAGGAAATCGAATTCCTTGGAAAATAGAATTAAATGGGTCACGTATTATGATTTCTTAAAATGAAAAACATAACATGAATATAAAAAAAATATCAAAACAAGCACATACAAATTGAAATTACCTACATAAACATTTTTCTCATTACTACAAATCGAAAGTTTCTATCGACTATGATAGAGTCCATCAAGGGCAACCTTTTAAAAAGAAAATATTGAAATCGGCTGAATATTTTTTTACATATTTCGTAACAAGTAGAAACAAAGAGGTAACTTGTTCTCACAAATTATAGGACCGATTCAGCTGATCTGTCGCCTATACTGCGTCCAAAGTTATATTGATTTTTTGAAATAATTTTCTTCCGTTTATTCGTTAATTTCAAGAAAAACTGAAAATCGGATGAATGCAGTGCTTCCATTCGGAGACAATATAACTGTTCATTATAAAAAATAATTCTGCCCATTGTCAAATTACAGCACGATTGGAAAAACAATTGCGTTTCATGCAGTAACCAGCAAGTTTATAATCTTGAGGTATTTCACAGTAATCCGAACACTTTTTTCAATGTTTCTCGGTTTGTGTTCAGTCGGTAAAATGAGTGCCAACGTCAGCGATTGTCAATTATTAAAAATAAGTCTAATGGTTTCAAAAGCTTTTCAGTTTTAATAGCAGCCATTACTTTTTCCTAAAAATGTTGTTCTGTGAAATTTTAAATTGGGGCATTCCTTTAATTCAGGCGCATGGTACCTGTAAACTAAGCAGTACATT